AGGTTAAGGGGCGTGCACTGAGCATAAATTATGGTGAGTGCAAAAAAGTAATTATGAAAAATCTTGAGAATTTTAATTTAATTTTAAAATAGGAAATGTATACAGTTTCCTATTAGGTTTAAAATATATGTTATTTTTAAATTTAAATTAGCTACCAGTTTAAGATTTGCTTTTTAAATTTTAAAAATTTATGGTTTAGGCTTGGCTTATCCCTCGATTTTATAAGTATTAACTTAACACTGGGAAAGTGATTCTTATAGCAATATAACACTGCTTATTATAAGTGTCATATTTTTGTCTAGCTCACACTTAAAGCATTATGACACTCTTTATTAAAAATGTCATATGATTGTCTTTAGGCCTTAAAAAATTTCTGAGAAAAATTACTTTTATCAATAAAAATTATAGCATTCACAATTTGAATTTTCATATTTTTTTTTAGTTCACAATTATTATAGTACTATGACACTGCTTATATAAAGTGCAATAATATTCACAATGCTTGTCCCATTACTCCCTAAAATCGATTAATTTATTCAAAATAAATCTAAAGTTTTTAAATATTTCCAACACAATTTCCTGACCTATCCAAAATTATTTTCAGTGTACAAAGATGTGGCACATAGGGGTTATATAGGGGGTGCCATTTCGGCTCGCGTGGGTTTTGTTGATTTTGCGTGCGCATAAAAAATCGAAGTGGGCACAGCACAGGGAGGACTCAGCTCCAGCAGGATTCAGTAGGATTCGAGGCTGCGAGGCCGAGAGAGTGGAGAAGTAGGAGTGGGCTTTTGGGTGGCCAATGCGTCGAATGGGGATTGTGTGTGTGTGTGAATGCGACAATCTCGGCGCGTGTTTTTGGCTGCTGGAGCCGCTTGTTTCGCATTCTGCACTTCTGTGGTTGAGGGCCGACTCGTTTAGGGGCGTGTACCCCTCTTTTCGAGGGTGCACAAAGGAAAGAAAAAAACAAAACTCACCTATAGTATCACGATCATAGAAATAACTGCTGGCACTGCTTTTGATGCTGATGCTATCCAGGGGCGTAGACGCCGGCTCAAAGATGTTGTAGGAGTCGCAGGATTCCGCTGAAGGTGTTGGTGGAGCCACAATAATCCTGGCTAATGCGGCAGCTGCACCCAATTTATACAGAAAATGGAAAATGCAAAAAAAGAAAAACCAGAATAAGGAGAAATGTACAAGGGTTGTTTTTGGGTTTATTTTGGGGGAATTAAATTAGGAATTAAATTCTAAAAATATAATAAAAGATTTAGAGGGTATTTCAACTTATGAAATATAAATATTAAATTAGGATTTAAATTCTAAATACAAAATAAAAGATTTAGAGGGGATTTCAACTTATGAAATATTATAAATTAATAACAAAAAAGGTTGTACTTTATAAATAAAACACTTTTATACTTTTCAAAACAGTACAAAAATATTTTTTATTATTATTTCATAAACTTTCTTTCATATTATTTACATTCATATATTTTCAGAGACTAAATATACATTAGTTCAGCAATAACCTTTTTTTAAAAAATAACTTAACTAATATAAGTTCGTATAAATATTATACCCGGCATAATAAAGACAGCGCATTGTCATTTATTAATATAATATAGAGAGAATATATAATATTTTATACAATGTATAAAATTATTATGTAGTAAACTGAAAAAAACCAATTCATTTATCTAAATATTCTAGATTTTAATTTTAGTTTCTTTCCATAAATATTTCTACTCAAAGTTGGCAAGTTACATCCTTAAAACCTCCTTAACCAAAGCCCCACTTAGACATTTAGTTGGCCGAAAAAAAAACAAACATAACAATGAATTTAATGAAACTCATTTAGGTTTCTTAGATTTCTAATGCCTGCCGCCCTGCAGCCTCTTTCGTTCCGCCTCCTTGCTATGAAAATTCAACTGCCGGCTGACCTTGCCCACCACATTTAGCTGGCTCCTGTTGAGGTATTTAAAGATATGCCCATACAGCTCATCGGGCAATCCCAGAAGCGACGGCTGCAGCGTCTGATTCATCTCCATCAATTGCTGCGATCTCATGGGCTGGAAGAGATTCTGCTTGACCTGGTAGGAAAGCTCGTCCAGTTTGCGAAAGCGCTGAAATATAGGCTTGTTCTTAGCCTGAATATTCAAGACATAGCGGCCAATGGAGAGACTGATGCTATAGCCAGGCAGCTTTGAGGGCGGCGCCGGGGACAGGGTAACCATTAGCTGATCGCCCAGTATGATGGCCATCAGGCGGGACTGGCGAGCAGCCACAAGATTCATATCCTCCGGTGCATATTTATCCAATAGAGTTCGCAGGCGAATCGAAAAGGCCGTGTCGTTGAAAAGGCTGGCATAATTGACCACCTGCTCGCTGAGTAGACGGACATTTGGGGCATGAAAGCTACTGAAGACGGGCACCGGCTGCAGCAAATGTCTCTTCTGGGCATACACTTCCTCCTCCACGAATCCACACTCCAAAGCCAGCTCGTAAATCAGCAGAGTCAGCCATTCGGCAGATGATAACTTGCTCTCCTTTAACTGATCCGTGAGATTTTTCAATTGCTCTGGCACCAAATCCAGGGTGGCATGTTCCAGGAGCAAAGGATAGTCCAGGTAATTCCGTTCCCGTTGTTTGTCCGCTGCAATGAGGTTTTTGTTTGATTTAAAAACATTTTTTTTTTTGTTTTTGGAAAAAATTACAAAAGAAATTATTAGTGATTTGTGTGCTTTTGGGTTATAGGTGAAAATTCAAAGGTAAAAAGTGTCAGCAACTAACCTGCTGGTGTGCTTTTTGGGATGCAACAACTCAAAACTGGTAGTTAAATACAATAATACATTTTTGTTTAACACTACGAGAGAACACAGAAATTAAAACTCGCGTTTATAATATATTTTGGGGAAAATAAACACTGGCAGCTACAAATACGAAAAATCTCGAATTAAAGGTGGGGGAAAAGGTAGGGTAAATCAAATTAATCGAAGGGGTTGAACTTTTAATTACAATTACGTGGTGATTACATACTAAAATTAAATGTTTACTCTAGAATGTTCTAGTAACCTTCTTATCGCTTATCAAGCAAGTGTTTTTGATGTATCTTAAATGGTTTTTTGCCTTTTTTTAGCTTTAAATCTATTGTTTTTTACTACATCTTAAAGTTTATTATTCAATTGGTTATTTTGTGTTGGATAAGTTATTTATTAATATAATATTACAGATCAAAACAAGCTCTAAACCTGGAGAAATCATAAATTTTTTAACAATTTAAATTAGTTTTTTGGATATTTCCAGCTTTAAAGCTTTTATTTTTTTACTAAGCGCGGGAGATAATTATTAATGACTTATTTTGTGGTTTTAAATTATATTAGAGATCAACTTATATCATGCAAAAATTGTCTAAAAATATTGTAAAATTTAAAAGGTCATAAAAAGAGAGACTTTAAAAAGTTGTACTTCTTAAATTTACATATTTTAATGATGCTGAGTCTTGTTAAAATAAAATGTTAAGCTTTTTAAGAATTTATAAAGACTAAACAATAAGAAGAGGTAGTTATAATAATTATTAGCATATTTTTGAAAGGTTAAATTAGCTTTATTTTGCCATATTTCGAGTATTTATGATTTTTAACGTATGGGGTTGGCTTTATTTTTATAATTTGTACTCAATTAAAAATGACAAAAAAAAATTAATAAATTTATTATTAATTCAATATGATTATCTACATTTCACAAGGTTAACAAAGTGTTATTTGCATATTGTTAAACTATTTGCTTTTTTTTTTCAAACAATGGGTTTATTTATGATTTATCGAGTAAATGTTTAACGCATATACCCTGAGACATACGTATGTTTATACACACAAACATATATATACATATATACTGTGCAAAGCCTTTAACAAATAGTGTAGATTACAAAAAAACGTGTAAATAAATGGGTTGAACAACAAGCAGGCCATTTATCAATACGGTTTTGTGTTTATTTAACCATATAGTTTGTTTAATTCTATACTATTAACCATATTTTATGACTTTACTTACCAACATCGTTAGTTGTTTGGTCACTTGTTGCGCCTGTGGCTGTGCCTGTGCCTGTGCTCGATGTTTCCGCAGGACGAACCACTTGTTGCTCCTCCTGCTGGGCGGCCGAGGTGGCTCCCTCGTTTGAGGTTGTTTCCGACTTTGCCTCCGACATTTCTATTATTATTTTACGTACGAATTTTGTGCGTTCGAATTAAAATATGACTGCGACGTCTGTCATCGTTCATTTATCATTCTTTTTCAGAGAATGACAATCGAAAAGTGGGGCATACTGCGTTTATGCGCTGGATTTTATGGAGACCTCGTCGAATGTAATTTCCACGGGGATATCACACTCTTTTATATCTTTTGGGCACTTTTCCGGGTGACTGCAGCACTATTTTCCTCCTGTGTTCACTATTTTCCTCCCACTTGTGTCTTATTTACAAGTTATTTCATTGCAAATTTACAAGCACGGCATTAATCACGCCGCAACAACAAAAAAACGCCGCCACAGCCGCGTCGCCAGATATTCCACAGAAACTATATTAGTCAGCAGACATTACAACACCGTTCAATTGTTTTTAAATAGTTTTTGATTTTCATTTTGCCAGGAAAGCACACAAATTAGGAAGCAAAAATTTTACAAGGAAAAAGTTTGCGAAAAAACAGCTGGGTTGGCCGCTACTATCGATTTAACACACCTATCGATAGGTTATCGATGATTATAGAGTGGTTTGGTTCTCACAAATTTATTATATGATTTTTTGAAATTATTAATTCCAAAATAGACGGAAATAAAAACATTTAAATAAATAACTAAATAATATACGAAAAATTATAATTTACAAAAACCCGCTTGGTCTTTGGTCCCTGTTCAACACTATTATTTAACTATTTTCAAGCTAGATGTCTGCGTTTCCCGCCAGATTGAGCCCATTTAGTGTGACCACCTTCGAGGTGATTATGGAATAATCAACAGAAAGACTTTGGTCACTTTACAAACCAAAAAAAAAAACGTGCTGCACCGCTAAATGTTTGTTAATTTGTTTAAAAACCTAAAACTATGACTAAACAAGTTATCTGCGACTATTGCGGCAGCAGCAATGAGTCGAAGACCATATTCTCGGCCCAAAAATCGTTTGTGGGCTACAAGATGCTCGAAGTTTTGCAAATAATCACCCACAAAGACGTGAGTACAGCACGCCAGCCAAAAGGGCGGCATTTCTGATTTCTAATTTAATCTATTGACCTATTTTTGCCGTGTGCCCTTCCAGTTGCCTGCTAACCTGGCCGTAAAAGTATGCTTCATGTGCGCTTCCAACCTAATGACCACCATGGGTGTCATCGAAAAGACGGTGAAGCTGGTGGATAATGCCAGTTTGATCAAGGGCGCCGCCGCCGCTAACAAAAACAAAAAGGCGGTGGAGGAACTTGACAAGTCAAATGTCGATCCCATTGTGGATCTCACAGCGGAGGGGGAAGCCAAGACTGCCAAACCGAAGACCACACCGGCGGGCAAGAACTTAACAATTCGTCAGCGCAGCAAGTCGATGGCCAGCAGACCGAGCGACCTGATCTTTCCGAAAAGTCCGGCCCAGAAGTTAGACGAACTCAATGCTAGTTCATCCAAGCAGACGCCCAAAAAGCATACATCGCGTCTCGAAGACGGTCTCGACGACTCGGTAAGACTGACGCCCGCCAAGGAGGTGGCGCCCAACAAGAAGGTCTTTTTACAACTCTTTGGCTCACGCAATGCCAATGATGCTGCTGCTCCCGAAAGCGAGGATGAAGATGAGGATGAGAACGCTGCCGATGAAAACGCTGGCAAAGTGATTACCATAAAAAAGAGCTTTGATTGCAAATTATGCGATTTTCAATCGCGTAGCGCGAAGCCCTTCAAGCAGCATCTCTCTCAAGAGCATGGCCAGCAACGTCCACGAATATATTTCTGTGACCTGTGCCCCAAGTCTTTTGGTGTACTCAAGTCCTGGAGAGTACATAATGAGACTGCGCATGGTGTCACTGTAGAGGCACCGCAAAAGGAGGTTAAAGAAAAGGTGGCCAAGCCCAAGAAACAGCCGGCTAAAGCAGACTCCAAGGAAGATAAGGTGAAGCCCATTGAGAAAAGTCCAAGAAAAGAAAAAACCAACAAGGGGAAGGAGTTAAGTCCAAGAAAAGAAAAATCCAACAAGGCCAACGAAATGAAAAGTCCAAGAAAAGAAAAATCCAACAAGGTAAACGAGATAAACAAGGTCAACGAAGTGATCAATGATGAAGAAATCTCCGAGGGTCCGCAATTGGCCACCATTAGAGCCCTTAATGGCGAGACATCAGCCAGAAATAAGTGGCTAGAGAAAGTAATTAACAACCCAGACTACACATTCGATGTCAATGGATCCAGTGCATCCACTCCCAAAGCGGCTGACATCTCAATGGAACTAGGCAGCGAATTTAAGTGCGATATTTGTGACTCGGAGCTGACAACGGCCAAGCAGATGCAGGAGCACATGCAGACCGCCCATGGTATAGACAAACCAAAGATATTCAAGTGCACAGTTTGCGAAAAGAGTCTGTCCTCCAAGCAGTCCTTGAAGTATCACATGAATCTTCACAGCAATGGTAGTGGTGGCGGTGCCGAGGAGGTAAAATCCAGCAAGCGAAAGATTCTGCAGGAAGAGGAGAAGGAAGTGGACATAGTGGATGGCAATGCAGATAAAAGTCCAGATCCAGAGGATGATGATGAGCAGCCAACAGAGGAAAAGATTTTGCACACAGATGAAGCTGAAGCTGAGGTTCAAGAAATTGCCATTAAAACTGAAGATGAAAATGACTTAATGGCTCCACCAAAGCCAGTTGGTAAGAAGCCAAAGAAAGCAAAGGATTCTACAGCGGTCATAAGCATCACAGATTCCCCCAGCAAGAAGGGCAAGCGCAAGAACAAAGAAGAAGCATCGCTGAACGAGACCACAACGACAGTGGATCTGCTGGAGGAGATCAACACAAATGTAAAGCCGCACAAGAAGGCCCGCCTGGAATCTATCAGTGATTCCTTTGCCAGTTCCATTGAAGACTATTCTACAGCCGAGGAGTCTGTACTTAGCTGCGGCCAGTGTGGCAAGCAGGTCAAGTCCAAGCAGCGCTTGGCCTTGCACATTCGCAAGCGTCATGGCACCAAGCTCGAGTGTCCCGGCTGCAAGAGCAGCTACCACAACCAGCGTGACTATGTCAATCATTTTGCTGTCTGCAGCGCCGGTGGATCCCTGTTGCCCTGCGGCGTGGAGAATTGCAAGAAGAGCTTCTATGAAGCCAACTACCTCAGCTCGCATCTACGCCTCAAGCATCAGTGGGTCTAGGATGTGTCATTAGTTTATCTTCATGCCATCTTTTCATGCTTTTTGACATACATTTTAGCTTTAATTTTATGTTTAATTAGTTCCAAGCCAAGAAGTACATTCTTTTTTCATTTTTAAGTTGAAAGTTTGAAAGATTTAAAACAAAGATGCTTAGGAAACATGCAATTTATAACAGAGTTACATTTTAACATAACATTTTTGACTATTGAATAATTATTTTGATTTTAAAGACATTTGTAAACATAGGATGTACTCATTAAGAGTACATAAATCCTTTATAATTTTTGTTAATAAAGAATGACAAAAGAACCTTTGTTTATTTTTTAATTATGATCTTTCCTATACATTTATTTGTCATAATAATATTCCCCAAAACAAAAAAACAAACTAAAAACCAACAATATGCGAGAGAGCACAAGGATTTTACATACAATGTAGATGGTTCTATGGATTCTCCATGGATTAGGAGCAGGATATGGGCCACAGTATTGTCTAATTACACTTTTCTACTTAACGTAAACAATGATTTTAATGATTGGAGGTGGGTGAAGTGGGAAACTAAATGCGGCGCATTCTCAAGAGGCTGCCACCACCTTGCCATGAATCTCCGCCTGGGCCACCTTCATCACCTCCAAGGCTCCCCGCTTGATCAGCTCCTCGGCCAGGGTCTTGCCCAGCTGGTTGGCCTTCTCGTAGATCCCCCGGCTGTAGCAGGCATGTTGGTACAAGCCGCAAAACAGGTTCTCCACATCCTCAATGAGCACCGATTTCTGTGGCGCCGGCTGCTCCTCGTCGGCATAGTCAAACATCTGGACAGTTTTCTGCAGGAAGGGGCACTTGGGTTGTGTTGTTGCGTTTCCATTATCCTTGGCTGGTGGTGCCTCCAGACCACTGCCCTGGTGCATGGAAGCAAAGGGACACTTGGAGGAAGAGGCCACATTGTCCACATCATCACCAGCAATGCTGCTGCCGGTACTGCCTCGGCTGCTGGGTGGCGGTGTGGGTAGAGTGGAACCACCACCTGTTACTGGACACTTGCCTGCCTGGGCAAAGGATATCTTGGTCTCCTTGTTCACATATGGACACTCGCCCATAAAGTCCTGGCCCACAGGCATTTGCAGGGGACAGGCTGGAGAAGCTCCGGTATTGCCATTGTTTGCTTCTGAGGAATCTCCAGAGGCAGCATGGGCCACGGGACATTTGCCCACAGCCTTGGCTGGACCGTGAACCACTGGACACTGACCCATCACATCCTGTCCGGCAACCAAACGAAGAGGACACTGCCGGGGTGTTGTTTGGTTCGCATTATTGGTATCCGCATCGCCACCTCCATTTCCAACAGCGGGCAAAGCACTGCCATGACCCAGCACTGGACACTGACTGGCCAAATCCGTAAGCTGCTCCACACTGTAGCCGGCCAGGGCCTCGCAGGCAGCCTCATCCTCGCAGATCACCGGCGGACTGCCCTGCTGACGCGGACTGCTTGAATTAGAGTCCGAGCCAGAGCTGGCGTTGCCATTTCGAGCACGTTTCGTGGCCGGCGGTGAATCGCAGCTGCTGCTGTTCTCCTCTTGATTACTGCTCTCCTGGGCAGCTCGCTTTCCCCGCTGCTCCGCCACCACTGCAGCGGACTTTTCATTCAAGGCACATGCCAGGTGATTTCTTATTTCTGTGGCTCCATCCAGACTCCAAACAGCGCCAGTGAGTGAGAGACCCACCTCCTGACTATTTCCATTCAATGGTTCACCCTTAAGGATACTCCAAACAGCCACGGGAGCCGAGCATCCACCGCCCAGGGTCTTGAGGAAACTCCGCTCGGCTAAGATGCGACAGGTGGTGTTCAGACACATTAGTTTCTGCAGCATGGCCAGCACCTGGTCGTCGTTGGCACGACACTCCACGGCCAGAGCTCCTTGGCCAACGGCATAGAGCAGATCCGTGGGCTCTAGCACCTGGCTGATGCGACTCATCCAGCCCATACGCACCAGGCCAGCCTGGGCGAGGATAATGCCGGCAAACTTTGAATCGTCGGCATCCAACTTGGCCAATCGAGTATTCAGATTGCCACGGATGTCGCAGACAACCAAATGGGGATATTGTCTGCGGATTTGCGCCGTGCGACGCAAGGAAGAGGTTCCTAATAAAAGAAATTTAGAGTTAGTTGAATTAAAGTTTTCAGAACTTTTGAAGAACTCACCAATCACACTACCCTCGGGCAGCGATGCAATTGTGTGTCCCTTTAGGTTCTCCCGTAGAACCAACGCATCTCGGGCATCTTCTCTCTCTAGGACAGCTCCAATGGCCATTCCTGTTGGCAGTGCCGTGGGCAGATCCTTCAGTGAGTGCACCACAAAGTCTACGCCGCCGTTACGCAGGGCATCCTCCAGGTCACGGGTGAACAGGCTCTTTTCTCCAATCTTGGGCAGTGAAACATTGAGCACTCTATCGCCAAAGGTCGACATGGTGTCTGTAAAATAAAAAATGAGTTATATAATATATTAAAGGTTTAAATAACCTAATTAACATTTGATATTATTTAATTTAGTTGAGATTAAAGTGACTTGAAGTGAAGATAAAAGATAAGAGTGATAAATGGGAAGTATCTCAGATAAAATCAGAGAGAGGAAGCCTCTATAAACATTTTTTTATTTATTTATTCTTGTAATACAAAACAATTAAGTTAAAATAAACACATTTTTTCTATATATTAATAGAATATATATAAAAATAAATATTAACATAGGTATTTTAACATAAAGCATAGTAAAAGTTAAAATTCCCTACTAATTTGGTGAAACGCCAAGTCACGATGTACACATTGAACTTATTTTCTATAAATTGTATAATATAAATATTAAAATAAAAATATTACAATAGAGAAAATAGAGAAAGAAGAGTATATTTCTCATTAATTAGTAAATTAGTAAAAATCAAAATTATTACAATAATCAATCAATGTGTTTAGAAATGGTTCTCGAAAACCCATTTCCCAGTGTTTCTATAGTAAATACAACATCTTCTATTGATCATTTTGAGCGGGTGTTCCATTAATTGCAGTCTGTCTTTAATGTATCTTTCACCTGATAAGGTACCTAGTAGCTCAACTTTATGACGGCAATCAGGCGAGACATGCAAACGAAATATCTACCCGAGACTTCCCCTCCCTCAACCATTTCTGGACACGCAACGATAATGTCTTTTTCAAATGCTTTGCTTATCGGACCGGGAATACAATTTGAATATTTTGTATATCAAAAGGGGTACGCGAATATCTAAAGAGGATGTAGCGTGCGTAAAGGTTTTGGCATAACTTATTTTCACTAAATTCATTTTAATGGATTAAATGGCATATCGATGGGGTACTGAAGTTCAGTTGAACCTGCTAGGTAATTACGTTTGTTCGTGTTTGGTATGCAAAAACCATAAATTAAACTGACTCATCGTGAGTGCTTCTAAATATATATTTCCATAAACTGGCTAATCTTATCGATTTTAAAAGGTAAAGGGGGAGGTACTGACCATGCCCGATTAAATACAATTTCAACAGATTCCCCTGTTATGTCAACACAGCAGAAGTACTATATCTAATCGGAAACTGAACATTATCGACGGGAACGGTGGCACTTATCAGATAAACCGATTGGATCTTGTATCTACCAAACATAAAATAATCACGTAATGAGAGAGATATTCTTATCTACAGAAAGAGTCACGATTAAAGTGATGAAATGTTTGGGTATTTTTTGTTTGCAATGAATCATTTATTTAAAATTTATTTGAATAAATAAAATACTTTATATATGAAATCAAAATTTGTTTCTATTCTCGTGACCCCAACTGTATACAAGTATATTTAAGATGTTTGCCAGTGTGTGTGACATAACAGTTTTCGGCATTCCCTAATCGCGAGAATAACAAAAACAACGACAAAAACCAGACATTGACATTGAGCAAAACTTTGCCAAAACACGCACGTGAGAGCAAAAGAGATGACGAAAGTGGGGGAATAAAGAAATCAGAAGAAGGCCGAAAATAAAACGGAAACCGGGTAGCGATCATATGCAATCCTAGGTAAACGGTCGAAATGTGTATGCGTGTTTTTGTTTTGACCATTATCAAAACATAAGATAAGATCCCAGCGCCAGGCTTTCCACAAGTCATGCTTCGCTTCCAGTTTCGAAAATCGCCTTGTGCAGCATGAGTAGCGTTTTCCAGTGTGGAAGTGGAAGTGGAACTGATACCCCCAACCAATGCTCCAATATTTGCCCAAGATGCTTTCACTTACGTATCTCGAATTTCTGCTTGGGATACAGCTTCTGCAGTCGGCCGATGACATGTTTGGTCTGGATCAGAGCCAGCTGCAATTTAAACCAGAGATAGTTAATTAATTAAGTGATAAATTGCTCATTTTAAATGCTAAATGTAAATAACCTATTGAGTGCGGAGGAGCCAGAGAGAGTCAACAGCTTGAAAAGAAAATAAATCAAGTAATTTCAAATTTAAATGCCAGCTGCGGCAGCGGAATGTGTGGCCTTCATTTCAAGCACGATCAAAGGTGGCACAGAGTGCAATTAACACAAATAACATAACGAAAAAGCCAGGCCAAAAATCAAGTTTTGGGCCCTCAATAAACAAAAAAAATAACATTAAACAAGTACAAGTTTTGGCCTCTCTCTTTTTTTTTTTTGCCCCCTCTCCGAAAAGTGCGTGTGTTGTTGCTGCTATTGGCAAATTGTGTAATCAAAAGTAAAGAAAAAAAATCAGAGCATTAGCTGCAACAACAACAACTACACCACGCTTGCCGAGCAACAAGTCTTTCTCTCTCTGTCCCGCTCTCTCTTGCATAAATCTGGGGCAGAGGGGGGCGGGCAGCAACAAAATGTGATTGAAATTCAAATGCAACTGCTAAGCGGATGTACATATATTTGGATTATTCCCCACTTACCTCGCTCTTTCGGGAGCCAACGCGTATAACCTTTTCCTGGGCCGCCGACATTATTCCTGACTTAAAGTTTCGCTAATCAGTATTGCACAATAGTTATTTATGCTAGGTTATTTTATTTGTTCGTTGTTGTTGTTGCTGGGCTAAAGTGAAAGTGTGCGCGGAGGACAGCTTTCGGGGTCACACGTTGGTCGGAGCGAGAGGGAGCGCGGCGGAGCCCGGATGAACTTGATGAATGAAACCGTAAATGCAATGCACTATTCAAGACACATAGTTAGTTATGGGTATTGTCACGTTGGCTTTGTACTAAGCGGAGGTGTCTTTCGAAGACGAGAAGATTTAGTCGCTGGCCGATACTACGTCCGAGCAAAGAGCGAAAAAGAAACAGTGTGAATAGTGTAACCGAACTTCAAAGGAATTTATGGGAATAGTGTGGCCAGTGGCCAGTTCGCGCATAATCCAGTCACTTGACCTGGTTTACCAAACGGTCACACCAACACGCACTTGTATTATTTTCCTTTCCATCTCGTTGAAGTTCCGACTTTCTTACCGTAAATTGTGAAATAAACAGCCTCATAAAGATGTCGCGCCACCGAATAGTGCGCACGATGGACTACAACGACGAGTACGATGGGTACGACGATATCTATGGGCACTCGGTGGAGGACGAGCACTGCATCTCGCCGACGGATGCGCAGCAGTGGCTCTACGATCGTGCCCGTGGCCAGCAGAGCATCTCGGCCTTCATCAGCAAGAACAAGGACATTCAGGAGGAGGAGGACGACGAGGAGGACGAGGACACTGCCTTCGAGAAGGCCCGCCGTGACTCCGAGAGCTTCCAAATGCCGCAGCTGGACGAAATCGAGCAGGCCAAGCTCAGTTCCTGCGTGGACGAGGTGCGCAGCGTGGTCGGCGATGCCGTGTCCGAGCGCCGGATTGTGGAGACCTCCATGAAGTTCGACTATGACATGCAGAAGATCCTGGACGAGATCCTGAATGAGGAGACCCAAAAGAAGCCCTCCACAAGTCGTGCCAAAGCTGCCGCCGCCGCCGTTGCTCCGCTGGTCGCCAAGACTGCCAGCAAGACAGCTCCCACGCCGCCGCCGCCGAAGATCAGCCTGAAGGAGCCGCGTCGGGGCTTTGAGATAGCCTCGCCCAAGGTTCCCTCTTCGCCCGTGGTCTCTGGCCGCAACACACCCGTTGACATCAACAGCGACGGCGACCTGTCCAGGAGCTCGGCTTCTCTCTTTAAGGTGTCCAAAGAGCAGGCACTGCGTAACGCCCGGCAGCTGTACGAGAAGGAACGCGCCGACCAGAAGAGCCACATCCACATGATCGTCATCGGCCACGTCGACGCCGGTAAGAGCACCCTAATGGGCCACCTCCTGTACGACACAGGGAACGTCTCGCAGCGCGTGATGCACAAGCACGAGCAGGAGTCGAAGAAGCTGGGCAAGCAGAGCTTCATGTACGCCTGGGTGCTGGACGAAACGGGCGAGGAGCGAGCCCGCGGCATCACCATGGACGTGGGCCAGTCGCGCATCGAGACCAAGACCAAGATTGTTACCCTGCTGGACGCTCCAGGGCACAAGGACTTTATACCGAACATGATCTCCGGCGCCACGCAAGCAGATGTGGCGCTCCTCGTGGTGGATGCCACTCGCGGAGAGTTTGAATCCGGCTTTGAGCTCGGCGGACAGACGCGGGAGCATGCCATTTTGGTGCGTTCACTGGGAGTGAACCAACTGGGCGTGGTTATCAACAAATTGGATACCGTTGGGTGGTCCCAGGAGCGCTTCAACGAGATTGTGACCAAACTAAAGGCCTTCCTCAAGCAGGCGGGCTTCAAGGAATCCGATGTGACCTTTACGCCCTGCTCGGGCCTGACTGGCGAAAATCTCACCAAACAGGCGCAGGAATCCGGCCTGACCAGCTGGTACAGTGGTCCCCATCTGCTGGATGTCATCGAGAACTTCAAGATCCCCGAACGTGCCATTGACAAGCCGATGCGCATGTCCGTTTCGGATATTTACAAGGGCACCGGCTCTGGCTTTTGCATTTCTGGACGCGTGGAGACGGGAGTGTTGTGCCTCAACGACAAGGTCCTGGTAGGTGCCAGCCGGGAGCAGGCACAGGTCAAATCATTGACCATGGACGAGTTCCCCCAGACGAGTGTCTTTGCCGGCGATCAGGTATCGGTGACCTTGCCCGCGGTGGACATCAACAACGTGACCGTTGGCTGCATCATCTGCGATCCCCAGACCCCCATTCCGGTGACCACCCGCTTCCAGGCCCGCATCATTGTGTTCAACGTGAAGGTGCCTATTACAATGGGATTTCCCGTGCTGCTCCATCATCAATCCCTGATTGAGCCCGCCGTGGTATGCAAGCTGACTGCCTCGATCCACAAGAGCACCGGCGAGGTGGTGAAGAAGAAGCCTCGCTGCCTGGGCAACAACTCCTGTGCCCTTGTGGAGCTGGAGACCAGTCGGCCGATCTGCATCGAGCGATACGCCGACTTTAAGGAGCTGGGACGAGTGATGCTGAGGGTGGCAGGTGTCACCATTGCCGCAGGAATGGTCACCAAGATACGCTGAGATCCGCCCACATGCTGAATTTTTGTACGAAATTTTAGTTAGATATTCTCACTTTTGTTGTTTTACTAAATATAGTTTATATGTACGAATTGATTAAATCAAGAACACGCTGGAGCTGTGGAATTGACAAGGAAAATGATTGTTTATAATTAATTTGTATTTAAATAATTTATTTATAACAAGAAAGCTGATTTGTAATTATACAAAATGGCCATATCTCAAAGTAGTTGAAAATATTTTGAAGAAACAGCCAGTTTATATATATATTTAGTTTTTTTTTTAGGTTTTAAATAAATTTAAAAAATATTAAATATTAATTAAAAAACAAATATTATTCGAAATATAGCTTTGGTCACACTTGGCAACAGTGCAAGAACAATCGATGGCTCAACTATCGATAGGCCCTTCGATGTGGTGATAAGTACATTTTTCCACAGTCAAATTGCGGTCACACTCGTTATTGTGGGCGAAAAATGTTGTTTATTTGCCCCGCAATTACGGCGTTATCAAACAAAAGTGCAACAATTCGCGAGTGCCGACAGGTGAAGGGCCACGAAAAGCAGCCGCAGCGAGTGCGAAACAAAGGTACAACTCCGCTCCATACTCCGAATAGAAACCCGATGATCTCAAAGAATTTTCCAGCTAAACAGTGTTTTCTTTACGCTACCCCACAGTGCGCCCTCGATAACAGTGACCGGAGCGGAACAGGGAACAGGAGACTTCTTTTATCGCCGGCATTCTTTTGTATATTTTTGCAATGATTGAGAAAAGGAAAAATGGTCGGCGGTGTATTATTAAGTGCTGCAGGATTAGCTATAGGGATTCATCAGGCTCCCCTCCAATTAAGTTGTTTGCATTTCCATCAGATGGTAGACTCAAGAAATGGCTTAAATTATGCCATTTGGATGAGAATTTTAATAAACGAACTGCTCGAGTTTGTAATAGACATTTCGAAAGTAAATATATTGGGCTAAATAGACTTAAAAGGAATGCCGTACCCACTTTAAATTTAACTGAGCCTTGTGTAAAAATTGAAAACAATGATGATGACATTACTTTAAATTTAACTGACAACTTTCTTTTGCGTCCGGACAGTACTGATCCTTGTGTAAAACTTGAAAACAATGATGATGACATTACTTTAAATTCAACTGACAACTTCCCTTTGCGTCCGGACAGTACTGATCCTTGTGTAAAATTAGAATTCAATGATTATGGGGTGGCAGAACCAATTGCCAATTATGAGATCCCACTTAAAGTAATTTATTTTTCTAATAGTTTAGATGTTAGCCCTTCTAATTTAGAAACTCCTAGTGCACAGCAGTTAGAAAATTGTTCTAATTGCCAGAAAAGGGAAGAAAATGAGATGTTTTATAGAAACAAAAATGACGAGATGCTTCTTGCAATAAAGACTTATAAAAAAGAAATAGAGAAATTGAAAAGAGAAAATATTTTATTGAGAAATGCGATGAAGCGCAAGACTAAGAGAAAAAGTCCATAAATATATTTAATATTATAAATAATATGCCTCATGTTTTTGAAGATGCAAAAACTATATGCAAAATGCTACTGAAAAAAACGCAGAAAAAGTGATAGCCAGGATTTCAACCTGTTTGAAGAACAATTTAATTGATCCCGTGCAGATGATCAAGAAGGGCGAGATCCCGTGGAGTCCCGAGCTAAGGGCCGAGTACAAGAACTTCAAGATCTTCATTGTTCACACGGTGAGTTGGGGGTAAATTTACATAGGAATAGAAGAGAGTGGGGGATTTCGGAGGATTTAATGATCCTTTGACGTCATCACACACAATAGATAAAAACTAACAAATTTTCTCTTGCTTTGCAGCCGAATCGCACCTACTACCTGGATGATCGCGAGGACTGCTATGCCATTCACTGATCAGAGGCTATTGAAAATATGCCAACATCAACACCAACTCCTCCACCTCAGCAGCATCCACAGTTTGGCATTCGCCACCCAGCTCTCCGGATAGCAGCAGCAGAAGCAGAACAGGGACGTCGCCGAGCAAGAAGACGGCAAAAAGTGAAATTAAAACCTAATTTAATTGAAGTTTAGTTTTAAAGAAGCTCTCTAGTTAATTCTAATTATAATTCTAATAAATTATCATTATTATAAATCATTGTCATTCTTGCTATTATTATTATTATTTTTTATATAATTTTATATTTAAAATAAATTTAAAAAATATTAAATATTAATTTAGAAACGAATATTATTTGAAATATAGCTTTGGTCACACTTGGCAACAGTGCAAGAACAATCGATGGCTCAACTATCGATACGCCCTTCGATGTTGTGATAAGGTACATTTTTCCACAGTCAAATTGCGGTCACACTCGTTATTGTGGGCGAAAAAAGTTGTCTATTTGCTCCGCAATTACGGCGTTATCAATCAAAAGTGCAACAATTCGCGAGTGCCGACAGGTGAAGGGCCACGAAAAGCAGCGCGTAACGGCACAACCGCTAATCAGGCAGCCGCAGCGAGTGCGAAACAAAGGTAAAACTCCGCTCCATACTCCGAATAGAGTTGCCCTGCCGACATGCGGGTGCATGGCGTGAATTTGTTGTCTTGCCGCTGCTCTGCCCCTTTGTTATATACACACAAACCGTCAATTCGTGGCTAGGAGTGCTTTTTAATTAATAAAAGAACAACAGTGATTCGAGAGCATTGCATTATGGGCATTGCAAGTCTAAATGCGTTTGTGGTGCGCCGCCTGGTAACCCTGTAAATGAATCATAAGATAGAGAGAGAACGAGAGCGACAGAGAGGGCGAGTTTACGAAGAAGCGAAGAAAAGAGGGAGTGCAGAGTTAGTTCTCAGCATACAAAAAAAAAAAAAAAAACTCAAACCAATCAAAAATCCGATGATCTCAAAGAATTTTCCAGCTAAACAGTGTTTTCTTTACGCTTATCTACCCCACAGTGCGCCCTCGGTAACACTGACCGGAGCGGAACAGGGAACAGGAGACTTCTTTTATCGCCGCTGGGCTGAAAGCAACAATTGAACGAACGCACGCACCTCGGCGGAAAGAGCGAGCGAGAGAGGGCGAGCGAGGGAGAGGCACAAACACCGACACTCACACACACTCCACATCAACACGAGCACACACACCCCCGTACACGGCACAAAGGTTATCAACAGCAACAACAAGAGCAACAAACTTACTTTAAATATATATATAAAATTAAATAACAAAAAAGAAAAGAACCAGAACAAGGAGAAAAAACGTTCTAAAAGAACCACGAAACTGCAACCGAAAAGCAATCGCCGAACAACGCCTAAACTAGTGATTTTTTGGAGAGAGTGTAGAGAGGAGATAAGGAGAAACAAATTCTGCACAACAACACAACACAACGGCAACAACAACAAAAACTCGCGGGGACTTGTGACTTTGTGAGGAGAGAAACCCACCTGAAAAAACCTACCTGCATTTTGGGCTATTAACCATTAAAAGATAGAAAAGAGAAACCATGCGTGAGTACAAAATCGTGGTGCTGGGCAGCGGCGGTGTCGGCAAATCGGCGCTAACGGTCCAGTTTGTCCAATGCATCTTCGTGGAGAAGTACGATCCGACCATCGAGGACAGCTACCGGAAGCAGGTGGAGGTGGACGGCCAGCAGTGCATGCTGGAGATTCTGGATACGGCGGGCACGGAGCAGTTTACCGCCATGCGGGATCTCTACATGAAGAACGGCCAGGGCTTCGTTCTGGTCTACTCCATAACGGCGCAATCGACGTTCAACGATCTGCAGGACTTGCGGGAGCAGATACTGCGCGTCAAGGATACGGACGATGTGCCGATGGTGCTGGTGGGCAACAAGTGCGATCTGGAGGAGGAGCGCGTCGTCGGTAAGGAGCTGGGTAAGAGCCTGGCCACCCAATTCAACTGCGCCTTCATGGAGACGTCAGCCAAAGCCAAAGTGAATGTGAACGATATTTTCTACGACCTGGTCAGGCAGATTAACAAGAAGTCGCCCGAGAAGAAACAGAAGAAACCGAAAAAGTCCCTATGTGTTCTGCTATAAGACTTCCAAAAACAAAAACAAAAGAAAACTAAAAACATAAAACAGAAAACCGAAAACCGAAACGGAGCAGATTTTAGAAGGGGGAGAAATTTAAGAGTAAAGTTAAAAAAAAAGAGATTTTTGATTTTTTTTCGTTTCCGTTTCTTGTTTCGTTTCGATACGTTTTTGAACCGAATAACCCAAATCTAATATACAAAACAAGAAAAAGCTAAAAACTACAACTAAAACTAAAAGCTGACAATGTTTTCTAACTGTTTCAACAAGTTTTTTGTAATTATTACCATTTACTACTTATTATTATTAATATTATGATTGTACTATTTTTTCTCTGATGATTAACCATTAATGCCTGCATACATATATATGGGGAATTATTATGATATATACTATACATATTTAAATATATTTGTCGTTCGTTTTTGAGCCGTTTTTAAATTATGATGCATCAAGTGAAACAACATTCGTCAACTAAAAACATTCGTATTTATTGATTCTTCTTTTCGATTATATATACACTCTCTATACACACGCCCTATACAAAACTTACTATAATACTAAACACGAAGCCCCAACAAATAATATATCTTTAAATAGACCGCAAAACACACAAAACAAAATCAAATTAAGCTAAAAACCTAAATTGTATTGTGAAAAAAAGAAAACAAGAGGAAATTCCACAAGAAAGCTAAAATAAAATCGAGAATCGAGAAAGGAAATCATGAATGAGGAACATATTTTATAAAAATATTGTATGCAAATGATGTCAAAATGTTGCAAACAAACCAGAAGTAATGATGAGCCCATTTAGTAATTAGTTTAAAACAAATTTACAAGTAATTGTTTAAAATAACACACACACGATCAATTGACAGCACACTCACACACACCCACATACAAGCCACATCTCACACACACACACATACCCATTAACACTTACACTCCGGCGTGCTCTCAGAGAGAGCGAAAAATGCAAAAGGCGGAAACGGAAATTAGAGAGACGGAAGAGCGGCGAAAGAGAGTAGGAACGCAATTGCAACTTCCGGTTCCGAGTTAAAAAATCAACAACAGACAGCCACAAATTCTAGTATATTTATACATAAGAAAGAAAAAACTGTCGCGTCAATCCCAAAAAAGTAAAAAAAGAAAAAATCGAAGTAAATTTACAAGAAAAGAAAAATATTTCATAAATAAACATTGCATATAAACTTCGCGTACGAGTAGTAACCAATATGCCCTTAAATCAAAGTCTAAACACAGCCAACAACCAACAACCATTAAAAACTAAATAAAGATTAAAACCTAAGCCCAAGCGTATATATTAAAAATATATGATAAAGAAATACAAATCATTTTTGAACATAATAAATAAAACAAAAAACCGTTACAATAACATAATAATGTAATAATATGAGCGTGTGAAAAATGTAATTGAAAAACCATTTTTTCGAACTTGTTTGACCCATTTGCCGCTTCCTCAGGATCTTCTTCGAAGAAGGATACGAATATCAGAGCATCCTTTTTTTTGGGGCTTATCCTGAAGATGCAGTAAAGTAGGTAAATCCGGTTCGAACATCTTTTAATTATTAATAAATGTATTATGTTTATAAAAAATTAAAAAGGAAATGCAAAAACAAAATAAAAATTAAATAAATTCATGTAAGATGAGTACCAAACTTTTTTCGGGGGTTCTTTTGATAGTCTTCGATATATTTATATCGATTTTAAATCGTTTCCCACTGTTATCAATTTAAAAAACAACACAGATTCTCTTTTGAAGTTTTGAAATATCTGTATTTGATACTTGGAATAGTTTATATAAGTTTTGTTATTCAAATATTTTTACATACAATTACAATCAAATATAGCCGCCTTTTTATAATTATAATATAATAATATTTTGCTAGTTTATAGCACGCATATCCATTCACTGGTAAGATCTGCCTTAGGTTTCAGAGTTTAGTGGATTCAAGAGTAAAACTGCAGCCTGATATGGTATATGCGTAGTGGTTCTGAGATTCGCGGGTATACAATTATAATAATAATAATAATTATAATGCATGCATATCGTAGATGTTGCCAGCTTGATTTTAAGAAAGTCGCCACGGGGATTACTGTACAATAAAGGGCTCCAGTTGCGCTTTATGACTAGGTAGGTATTCTGGGGTAAGCTAAGTGCTTTTCTACTTCCAATTTCGATGCTTGTGAGTGATGCTTTCTATAATCAGTCGAACTTGTGTTTGTTTATGGATAAAACTTAATCTACGCTAATTTGGCAACAACGAAAGGGGAACAAAAATAAAAACAAAACGTATATAAAGACACAATTAAAAATTTAAGGGGTTCAGAAATATTGCACGGGAGGTTTTGAAATTGCACTTAAGGTTAAAAACTATAGGGTAATACAATCGTTTCGCTTTGAGATTAGGTTGGGAGATTTCGTTCTTTGCTTGGAGAGATTACTTGGGGGGTGTCTGGGGTTCGTCTTAGCAGAGATTACTAGCAGCGCACGTGATCGTCACGTTATGGCCATTGAGATAAGATAACAAAGCAGCGCCGGACCCGCATCCATAGTTTCACTTGCGCAGCTGTAGTTGGCCCTGCTGCTGGCTGCTGGACTGCTGCTGCTGGCTCGCCTGCTGCTGCTGCTGGTGTTGGTGATGGTGATGATCCTCGTCGTCGCTGGGCTCTTCCCGCAGCGGCAAGGAATCAATCTGCTTGGCCGTGGTCACCTTTTTGTTACGCTGCCAGGTAAAGACCCTTGCCATCTGCAGGAATTTCTTGCGCGACATCTTCCCCATGTTCTTTAGTCGCTCTTGGAAGTTGGCATCATCCTCGCCCTTGGCCTTGCCGCTCTGCTCTTTCTCCAAAGCATTCATAAAGTCCTGATTCCAGCGCAGCTGATTCATAAACTCCTCGTTCTGCAGCATCAAGGCGAACTGTTCGTCCGGCAATTCGAAATCCTGCTGCCCGGGAGCCGGGGTAATGCGCAGAAAGCCCGCTGGCAATGGGCCCAGTATCGGCGGATTCCAGCGGCGATTTGTGCGCTGCTTTGTGGGCGTATTATTCTGGCTGTTCACCTTGCTGGCCGAACCCAGTGGACGCTGTTTGGGTGAGGCGCCTGTATTGTGGTGATTTGGGGAGGCGCCCGCTGTGGTGGTCAGCAGGCCCGGGGCCACAGCAGCAGCAGTAGCTCCTCCTGTCTCCGCGCCATCAGTGGTGTCCACCAGCTGGCCCGTGCGCCGCAGGTCTTTGTCCGAGTCGTTCAGGTTGATGAGGCTCTGCTGGGGCGAGACATTAGCATCCAGTTCATTGCGCAGTTTCTCGTTCTGCGGCGTTTGGGTTGGTTTTGGTTAGTGGCATTCATTAGCGTTGGGTTAGCTGTTAGTATAGCGCATATTAGTATACACAGAGGGCTCCTCACCTGATTGTCAATGGACATGGCTAGCAGGGCGTCAATTGTCTGGTCCACGGCACCCAAGTTGGCGCGCAGTATGGCCTCAATCACCTCACGGTCAATGTCCGGGAACATCTTCTTGAAGTCGGCCATGGCCTGTGAAAATTCCAGTTGCAGCGTCGACATGATTCTTATTATTTTTATTTTTCGTCGCCCCCCCACAGATCAACGGGCGCTGACACAGTGTGACCAGGCGATGGCGGCGCCGGATTACCCACTTTTTGGGGAGGCTTATGCAATGTTCTCACTGCTCCGGAGTGGAATATGGTATTTAATTTAAGTTAATATTCCAGAAAGTTTATTATTTAATGTTATTCTATTGATAGTAAATGTGCTTTAATTTATATATATATATATATTTTTCAGATTTCATATAACTTGGGACCTTGAAAGTTTACAACTTAAAAAGTGGGTATAGGCCATAAGCTTTCAAGTTTACTTTCTCCATAGTGTTGTAAAACACTGCAGCACACTTGTGGCGCCAATTCAAAATCACAACTGCTGGCTTTGAAGCGCAATTAAATGCATTGTTATAAAGCTTGACTCAATACGTAACAATTAAACTAAAAAACCCTGATGAAAGTCATGCAGTCGCGTGATGGCTGATAATTGTCCAGCACGTGCTTTGGGTTCTGTTCCGGCCTGGAGTGTCAATTCAGCGACTCGGTTGCCTTCTAATAAGTGTCAATTAGCACTGATATGATTTCCATTTGATTCTTTATTAGCGCTTATCAATCTCAGACGGACAAATGATGAGGCCGCAATGAGGCTCGACTCCCCCGCCGTTAATTCGGGGTGATGTAACCATAAAAATTAATTTAATCACAAGTCAGTGGCTGAAGCGTGGGCGTGGAGATAAGCTGAGGAACTACCTACCGATATTCCCGGATCAGACAAGAGGTCGGCGCAAGCCGGAATAATCAGGAATAATTCCTAGACGAAATTAATTACTGTCTGACTGTCTGTGGGGACTTTGTCACAAAAAAAAAGACGCATTTAAAATTAGGAAATCATTTTTGGGGAGATTCTCTATAATATAAAATTATTCTGTTTAAAAATAATCTTTATTAAAGCTAACAATTCTAAGATCTGTGTGTCACGACACCCCCAATTAATTCGGGTTTCTGTGTGATTTAATACTGGGCAGATATTGCGTCACTTTTTAATACCCTTGCAGGTTATTATAAAATTAGTAAGTTACTTAAAAAAATGTATAAATTAAAAAAATCATTTCAAATATTTATATCAATTTTAAAATGAGAATTTCAATTAATTAAAATTATAAATTTAAATTATTAAGCTTATAAAATTTGAATGGAAATTATTTTTGTTTATAAATAATAATATATTTTAAATTTAAATAATATAAAAAAAATATATTTTTTTTTTAAAGTAATATTTTTAACCTTATAAAAACTAAAGGAAAATGATTTTTTGCTAATTTAAAAAATTTTAGAAATTTAATTTGTAACAAAAATATTATATAAAAAAATATCTGTGATTATTGGTTAAAAGAATTCAAATTTTTATTAAAATAAATTTTTTTTTTGTTATAATCGATTTCAATTTCTGCTCCCTTATTGTATTGCAAATTTTAAGGGTATACAAACTTAGTCTTCCCGCAGTTAGTTTTCTTTCTTGCTGTTCTTTTGGTTATTTTTATATAAACCCCAGATCCGCCACGATAGGAGGATGATTAAGTAAGCATAAAAGATAAGATCAGGCTAGTTATCTCCACCATAGACATGTGTAAATTTCCATGCTATTTTCGTACAAAATCCGGTAGCAGCGAATTTATTTTTAACCCTTTCTGTTTACTACAGTTTATTTAGATTTGTGACAGGTTTCCCTACAAAATGGGTTCTATTTACAGGTACCCAAAGTTTGTAAGAAATTCTAGTATCATGTGATTGTTCCATTTTTTTCCTAGTGAGTTTGCAATATCCGCCGGAGATTTCAACATCCGCTGATGCATGAACAAATTTTTGCCAGTCGACATTGACCCAATTAACTTTTCAACTTTTTTTTTGTTATAGCTAAATCATTGCGAGTTTAATGACCTACACAGCAAAGTAAAGTGATGTGGGGATCATTGATCATGTGGGTTGGAAAATCTCAGCCTATTATTATCATAGATTGTAGAAAGCCTTGACTAAAGGCTCCCTTGGCTAAGAGCAGTGAACCCACCTATCGATTGTGTAAAAGCCTAGATTGTAGCTTAAATTGGCATCAAAGATCAGGCCATACATTATTTTAGAATAATAATTAGGGAAGCGAGAGGAACCCATATGACCCAGGGATAGAGCTGTAGGGTGTATATACTACCTACTAACTATATATGGCACCGATCATAAATCTTGGCTTTATCGGACGATTTGTCAAAAGCGTGGCACGACAAAAAAAAAAAAACGCACGAAGATCGCGCGCTGCCCGAAGACTCGCCAACCGACTTGATTCAGTTCCGTTGAGATTTCGCTCGGCTCGAATTGATATAGTGGATCGATCCGATCCGAACCGATCCAGAGAGTTTAGTTCGCTGCTGAACCAGAAGGCGCCCAGTAAGAAAGCCGAGAACTTGAGCTTGCCCACTTGATTGTTCTGAAATTAGCCCGCGAGTTGAAATAAATTTAAATTACAAAAAGGAATACACACATATTTAAAGTGCTCGAGCACCGAAGTGTACTCCCAACCCCGCGAACCTGACCCCAAAAGTGGGCGGAGAAAGCCACCCCATCGCCCACGCGTACAACATTTGACTTCTGTCACCTACGAAGTGTCGTCGTGTTTATTTGTACCTGTTGAATTATACCCTTTTTTGTGGCGTCGTCGGGTCTTCGAGCGCCTATATAAACAAATGCTGCCAACGGATTTGCGTTTATTCTGCATTGTCACACCTAACGGTTAAGATTCGCCAGGCGGACAGACGAGCTCCTGGAATACAGAGAATATATTTAAAAAATCAAGTGGAAATTACTAAAAAAAATATTTGAAACAATTGAAAAAAGAAACTGTAAAAAAGTACAGTTAAACCAGCAGTAAAAAAGTACAGTTACAGTGTTGGAAAGTGTTAACCGGAATTAACTGAATCGCAAGAGAGAGATCAAGTGTCAAGAGCTTGAATCTCTAGAATTAATTAATTTTAATTAATTGGAGTGCGTTTCTTTGAAGAAAAAAATGTAAGCTGAAATTTGTGTTAATTATTTTATTAGTTAATAAATTATGGATTTTTTTCAATAAATTACAAGGGTATATTTTTAAGATTTACTAATTTATGTATTATAATTTTCTATTTAGTTTATATACCAACTATAAATATTAATTTTTTATGTTTTTTAAGACTGAATCAATTTTTTACCATATTTTTAAGATTTTTTTATTAATGGATACTCATTTCTAAGCTTTCTATATTTTAGTAATTACATTTTGTTTAAATTGTTTTTTCTTAAATTAAATTAATAATAATTAATCCATGAACTTGACATATAATTATATTTATACTACTCAAAACTAATTATCTCCTTATTAATAATCATTGAACATCAAGTTATTTAAATTAAATCATTGAAAATTCGATTCATGGGTCACCTAAGTGGCGCCAAGATAATGACTATATATATATTTTTACATTTTTATTTGCCTCACCGAATTATCAGTAGAATTTTTTCAGAATTGTCATTGCTCGGTTTTCGCTTTAATTTATTGCAATGAGAGGTTTTATGTTCTACATAGAAGAAATTAATGTAGCCATCTTATCAGGGCCGCGGACGAACTTTCAATAAAAAGTCAAAGAAAAGTCTCGTGAATCGTAAAGAAACGGAAGGTATTGCGTAGTTTTATTCCACAGAGGAAGGGGGATTCCAACTTAGATTCGGAAGGAGATAAGTTTTGTTTACAGTGAAGCAAAGAAAAGAGGGCGTGTCAGGGTAGATTTGAACTTATTGTTTGTGATAAGAAAGCGTAGCTACTCGTAGCTCTCTCTCCATGTTGGTTGTGGTCCGATATTTTATGACGTTCCCGATGACGCACTTTATATGGCTTCAAGCAAATAAAAGCTAAACGAAAAGCAACCCAAAGCCATTTTATTATTATAATAAATTCCTAGTACTCGTAGATGATACGAGATGATTTTTTGGGTCATCGAAAGCTGAGACCCCCCAGGCCTAGTTTTGTTTGATTTTTTGTTTTAATATTTGAAAGCATAGATTAGGCGATTACATTTGCGCATGAAAGGTTATTTTAAGATGGAATAATATTTATATGTTCTAGAAATACTAGGAAAAACAAGAGGGATGTATGTATTGATGCCTTGATTTAGTAACTTATGACTTAAGCTGGGTTTTTGCAAATAAAACTAGTAATAGTTTAGGTTAAATATATTTAGTAGCTATTTTTAAAGCATTTTTTATACAGTTTCTATAATTTTTATATTTTTATATATATTTTTTATATTTTTATATATTTTAGTATTGTCTGTAAAATTTTTTAAAAATTGTATATGACTTCTTTAAGGCTCTCTTGTTAAAAGTAAAATTCTTCTTCAGAAGAAAGCTTCTAGAAAATGTTGAAAGTCACCTTAAAGCAAGATCTCCTTGTACCCAAATCAAACTAGTTAAAGGCAGTTTTTTATGAAAATTTCGCTTTTGATAATTAGCTATTTAGTCAGGCCTATAAAATGATATCCATACAACCCCCTGACATCTTCTTATCGCTTATCGGGCTCTGGTTTTTTCTAATAAAAACGCACTCGTCATGGGAAAACTGTCAAATAAGTTGGACAGGTGTGCCAGGTCTGGGAAATACTATCTTGTAGTTTAGTTTTTTTCAGGGGAAAAACAGTAACCTCTACAACCCAAATCGAGTTCAATGAAACCTATACGCTTAAGGCCTTGACTCCGAAACCAAAATAGAGATGATATTCCCGGGGGGATCGCAAATTAGCAGTGCATTATCAGCAACGTTGCCTCGAATCGTAAATAAATTTCGTGGCTATTAAAATGCGTTTGAGCGCGATTATGGCATCAATCACTGAAAACAAAATGCGGAGTGTGTAAGTCACAGATCCCTCGACAAAGTTTATCGTCTGCACTTGATCCTCTAAGAGGTGATGCACGTTAATCAGCAGGGAAAAAATAGAATAATTTGAAATATAAAAGAAAATCACTCGGCAACAACAAATTGGTGGGCTTTTTGGGTTGCTTTTTGTGATAATAAGCTGCAATAAATTGAAACAAAAATGTTGCCAGCTGCGTGGCGCCGTTAAATTGTTGAAAAAAGAGAAAAACACAAGGGAAACAAAGCCAAAGAGGCAGTTTAATTATTGTTATTAAAAAAGTAAGATAAGATTTAGGCATTTATTACTTCAAACATTTATAAATTATTATGATTCCTTAAAGGGAAATTAATTAATGATAAAATATAATTTTGGGGAAGGCAGCTGGAATAGTTCATTTTTGTTAACTGATTTAATTTAAAGTTTGGAGTTTTTTAACAATTTAAATTTTTGTTAACTGATTCAATTTAAAGTTAGGAGTTTGTTAACATTTTAAAATTAATTAAAATGTTTAATTAAATGTACAGACTATGTATTATTGTTTTATTTTATTCGTTTTTAAGAGTAAAAATATTTATTTTAGTCTTTATTTAATTTCTATAGAGCTGCCTTAGAAATCTCCACAGATTTTTAATTTTTTCAAAATTGGCCTAAGATTTTTTTATTTTATATTTGTTACATATTTATTGTAATAATAATACAAGGTGGCAGTTTATTAATATTTTATAATTATTTATTGCTATTTAATATTAAAATCTTAAATTACAATATTATATATTTTATTATTTAAAGGATTGCAATATTCCTTTTGAAATCCTTAAAAAATGCACTAAAAAATACACCATGTTTTAAGTTTCATTTAATTGTGGGATTTCAGCCTTCTGTTGTACCATAAACATTTTTATTTTAAATGATTTCCAATCTCTATAATTTTCTATTATAGTTTTTACCTTTTAAAATAGTTACCATTAATCCCATTTTCTACTTTTTTTTACTTTAAAATCCTCTTTTACTTCGCCACAAATTAGCTTCCCCCTTTCATTCATCATTCGCTAACCACCCCAAATGACTTGTAATTTTTAAAAGTCAAAAGCTAGCCTCAAATAAAAAAAAAAAACCCACTCCTTATTTGATAATGAGCTCGCCGCTCACCTTTAGCATTCCGGTCACTCCTGGCGTCACAGGCTCTGCAGCTTAATTAGGCATTAATATTTCATAAATGTCAATTACGGAGTGGAGAGCCTCTGTCCTGTCCTGTCCCCTCCCCTCGCAGCATATCAAATGATGATATTGCAATGTGACCTGAATCCGCGAGTTGGCTTCAAAGAGGCCAGTGTGTTCCGTTTTTAGAACACCAAGAAGTATTAGGAAAGCCAAAACTTTTAACTGGAACAAGGAGAGAGCCTGGCCCAGATTCCGCTGGACAAGAAGAACTTGTTTTTGCCAACTGCAACGTGACTTATTTGAAGTACCCGAAACCCCTCGACATTCAAGCATATTTCAGCTTTCAGACTTCTTGGTTTTTTTCTTTTTTTTGTTAACTTGTTGTGTTGTTTGTAATAGGAAACCCTTTTGCGTAAGCAAAGTGAGGGTTGCTGAAAATGGGAGTAAGGGTATCTGGGAGTAAGGGTGGCTCTGGGACATGTGCTTCCCCTGCTTAATTGCTGTTGACACTTTAAACATACACATGTTTCTCACTTATTTTTTTTGGTAATTAAATTTAGAGGTTATAAAATGAAACGTGTGAATTTTTTATGGGTTTTTTTTTAGAGGCTATAAAATAATTGCAAGGCTATGAAAAATTATTATAATATCTGCTTTAAAAGAGCTGAATTTTTTATGGTTTTTTTAGAGGCTATAAAATAAATGCAAGGTTATGAAAAATTATTATAAAATTTGTGGGTGCTTTAAAAGAGTTTAAATTCTTTAAGAATTAAAAAAAAAAGTTAAAAAACTGATACAAGTCTAGAATTATTTGGGTATTTAATTATTTTTTAGATTTTAAGGATTTTTATTTTGTTTTTAGTATTTAGTATTAACCTTTAAAGTCAAATTCCATTTATAATAACTTTTTTTAAATTCTTATTTATTACTATTATTATTAAAAAATAATAATAATAATGTTCAAGTTTATTTAATTAAGTTTATATTTTTATTTTTTAAGAAAAGCTATTATTTAGTTATTTATTGAATTAAAACAATTTATTTTTAAAGCAAAAAAACATTTTAAATTTTTAAAAATTAGTCACAAACTGACCTTTATTTAGGTATTTAATAATTTAAAATACTTTATTTTTTATTAACAAAAAACAACATTTAAAATCTATTAAAAACTAACCATAAACTGACCCTTTTTAAACCCCCTTTTCTTAGTTGAAAACAATGTCCATTTCCTTGTCTTCGTCACCCGCCACTTGTGGCTGCTCCTCGGCTGTCCACTGGGCCATAGCCATTGTGCTCCTGTCAATGGCGATTGGGCCAGGATATGCTTTGCCCCGGCCATCGCGGCCCACGCAGCTGTTGTTCAGCGAGTTGCTGGGAGTTGGTAACGAGGACACCAGCAGCAACAACTATTATGGCGAGCAATTGGTAAGGACTAAGCCTGAAAAGCCACCAAGGAACCTGTTGTGACAAACTTTCCACTCTCGCAGAGGCAGCAGCAGCAACAGCAACAGCAGCAACTGCAGCAGCGATTGCCCTCCTTCGCCCGGAAGTGGCCTTCGTTGAGGGACCTCCTGCTGACCGCCGACTATGATGACTTTGGGGTCTCCCAGGAAAGCGAAGAGCGAGCAGTGGAGACCAACTCCCGTTTGCTGGCCAGGCTGCACAAGCTGAGCGACAATGGAGCTGGGGAGGAGCTGCGCTACAATGTGGTCAACGAGATGACCAATGTGCCCAGCAAGAAGGTGGTGATGCCAGGAGGAGGAGGAGGACACTCTCTCAAGGAGCACAACACCAAGAAAAATGTGCAGTGTGAGTAAAAAATATAATATAAGTTATTTTCTCTTTTAAATTTTAACCAATCTTAAGCATGTTTAACTAATTTATGTTTTTCTTTTGATTTTTTTTCATGTTTAATTATTTTTGAACCTTCTTCCCCAAAAATTAGTTCGTAAACAATGTAAGTGTTGCATGAAAACTACAAATATTTATATTTATATTTATAAATATAATATATATTAATTTAAATATTATATTTTATAAATTTCCTTAGACATGTCACCTTGCCATTTCAAAATCTGCAACATGGGACGCAAACGCAATGCCGGCAGCTACAATCCCTACTAAAAAGAACCAAAGCCAAAAATCACAAAATAAAAATATAAAAACTACCAAAAAATACAGCCAAAAGTAAAATAAAAAGAAGTATAAAGAAAATAAGTCACAAAAACACACAAAAAACACTGTTCAAAATGCCAAGTATTGTTTAATGTTCTAATTTTTAGTTAGAAACACACACACGCGCAGAATTTAATTAGAGATTATGATTAACAATGTATTTATAAAATATATATGTCTCTCTTTCACACACACACACACCAGACACCCACACACATACACACTCTAAAGTATTCCCCATATTAGTTATATAAATATTATCTATGATTCTAGTTGTATTCGAAATACATTAAATAATAATAATAATAACCAACACAATGTTGTTAGATATTAAGCCAAAAACTTACATATTACAAAAGAAATATTTATTGAAAACAAAAACAAAAAACAAGAATGATATGTGGCCAAATTTCTTGAATAAAGGTTATATGATTATGGTATTCAAGGACCCAAAGGTGGTCCACTAAATCTTTAGCGCCAAATGTGACTTTAGTTTTGGTTTTTCCCTCACAAAAGTATTCAAAGCTTTGGGCAAGGGTAAAGATTTTTTAAGAAAATATTAAGTCTGCTTTCAGGCTTTTGTATGAAAGTTGGGTTTTTGGGTGGGATTTCTTATATGTATATATTTTTCAGGAAATTTCTAGTGGTTTATAAGATTTTCTTTTTATTTTTTTGGGTCTTTTTAGGGGTTCCTATGATTTATTATATATTTCTACTTTACAGGAACCTTGCAGGAGTTTCTATAATTTCAGGTACTTTTTAGGACTTTCCTTTCTTTTTCAATGATTCAAAAATATTTTATAATCTTAGACTTGGATTTTTAAATTATTAATTAAAATTGTTGAGGAGGTTCTTTACTCAATTTCGAATTAATATGCTAGCCTTGCTCTTAATTTATTGAAAAATTATTAATAGAATTAATAACTTTCCCTTCTTAAGGTATTTCTTAAGGTTTTTAGAATGTTTGCAGTAGTCTGACGTTGCTTCTGTTTTTCATATTGGAATAATTCACCAAGAACCATAAAGAAAGATAATTAAAGTGTATTTTTAATTGAGACACTTAATTGTTTTTATTGGTTTACCCTACTCCAACTTAATTATATATTAATTTACATATGGATATAGTAGATCAATGTCTGTAACGAGACCTGTGTAAGCGTGAGAACAAAAGTTATTTATGGATATCAGAGAGGTGTTGAAGCTTCTAGAATAATTTACGAGTCTTTAAAAAAACAGATTAAGCCTTGATTTTTATAGTTTTAAATATTATTAATAGTTTTTTGAGAAGTCAAATGAAAATATTATAAAATTTAAACAAAATAATAAACTTTCCTCTAGCTTTGCTTAGTGAAAATTGATATTAAAATTAATTTTAATAAATTTAAACCAATAACTAACTTAAAGATAAATCTAAAACACATCAGCAAACACTTCTGGTGTAAATTCCGCTACATATATCTGCTTTTATAGATTGGGCTGACCTCCAGGTTGCGATTGCAAAGGCCAAGTGCCACTGCAATTTGTTTGAAAATTCAGAAGCCGAGCCAAAAAAGCGTTGGGCGTTTCACGTTTTGTACTCTATTCCATTTTTTTTGCGGAAAGTATCTACAGGATATGAAATATAGAAGTCGATCGCATTTATACCCGTTTGTTGGCAACTTAATGTCATGACAACGGCGGCGCCGTTGGCCAATAAAAACCAAGTTGGCTAGAATGTCAGACCAACAGTTGGCAGTTGTTAACGCCCAAACGCGTTCGCTTCTGGCACACTGTGGGAAAATCCGAATTTGAATCCGTATCTGAATCGGTGCTCGGTGTTTACTATAGTTTTTACTACATACATACAATTTTACTATTACAGTTTGAATGGGTTTCAGCGACCTTCGGCTGTGTGTGCCTCGCATTTATTTTATGCTCTTTAACACGTTTTACACGAAATGCATTTCGATTTATTTGCAATTACCTGAGATTTTAGAGGTGATTCATGCTGTAGCTATAATATTCTACCTGTATATTTATGTATATATCAGCTTGTTTGCTTTGTTTTACGCGAATGCAAATTCTATTGTAATTAAACGTGCTCCAATCGCCCGACAAATTGCTGTGTGTCTGCTTTGATTGCCGCTGATCTCGAGAATTATGATTCTAACATTTTAATTCCAAGAGATTCCAGAACCAATCGGGTGTGTTGACGTGTGTGTCTGCTTGTGTGGATGGGTAGGAGCTTCCCACGGAGATGGAGATGACAGCTTCAGCAAAAAATCCAAGAAAAATGCAGGTCAATAAGAAAGTAATTAAAAATTTCTTAAAAATATGCTTTTAAAAAAGTCTTTAAATTTTTTAATTATATAAATTTACACTTTACGATGCAATTATTTTAATTCTTAATAATTTTTCTAGCTAAAATATATATATATCACTTAAATAATAAAAATCTTCAAGTAATTGGCTTTTAAAAAATCCATAAAAATTATAAGTTAAATAAATGTTAATTTGAAGGTATAATTATTTGATTTCTCACAATATTTTCTAGGCTAAAAATATTTTAAGCCGTATTTCTTCCACTTATTTAAACCATTAAAAAACGTAATAACAATCGTGCTTACTTCATTAAAAGTTTATTAAATAAATGTATAATTTAAAAAATTGTATATATATTTTAATAATAACCATTAAAACTAGGCTTTAAATTAATACACACACAAACTTCACTCTCCAATTCGCTTTACGTTCATATTAATAGGCAATTTTCTATCAAATTTTAATAGTTTTTCTAACACCATCAATCTTGAGCTGCTTAGCGTGTTGAACAACAAAAAAAGTGAACTTGAACTGCGGCTCTAACTTTAAAATTATATACCTATATATATATAAAGACTTATATTTTAAGCAGCCCCGTCGGGAAATCCGTCAAATCGTTGATAATTAGTCATTAAAATGGAATTTTACTTGAAATTTTACGATCAGCCGAGGCACCTAACGAATTTCAGGGTCAGTCTAATTGATCTGACGAAAGTAAAAGTAAAGCAAACAAATATATGAGTTATATTGCTGATCGTTTAATTAAGTTAATTCAGTTGTTTAAGTCGCGTGTTAATGGCACTTTCAAAATTGCTTTAAGAATCCGCAAAATGAATTCGTAAGAGTTGGGTTGGGTTTGGGATCTCTCACAGACTATGGTATGGACTACCATACCTATAACTCTGACTCAATCGTTTGGTTGGTGTGTGAGAAAAATCGTAGCCGCAACTGCAAAAAAATAGCTTAGGAAAATGCAAACGCCGCCAAAAGACAATCGCAATTGTTTATAACATACGAGCTGGCTGCACTAGATATGCGCGGCTTTTATTATTATTACATACGAGTATTCCCGCAGAAACTCAGAGGCTCTGCGAGAGGCTGAAACGGCATTGACAAGGCCACACTTGGACGATGATGTAGTGGCTGCCCGGAGTTGGAGTTTGGAGTTGGAGTCTCATGTGAATGGCTCGCGGGCAGAGTGTGACTTGAACTCGTATTCGTCGTTCTCCAAAATGTGTAATTTATGTGGCCGGATTCCTTGATGTAATGAAGCCATAAAGGCCACTCACAAAAGGTGGCTACCGAATGCAGTTTAATTTTTAACTGAAGCACAGTTAACCTGAATGTTTGTTTACGGCCATTAAAATACAATTGTTAAGAGTTCATGTCTATAAAAATTGTTTTAAGTAATTATTTTAAATGTTGAAAAAATGTATAAATAATGTAGAAAAATGTGTTCTATCAAATGTAAATTTTTAGGGTTTTTTCAAGGATCTTTTTCTTATAAAAATATATTAAATCTTATAATATTCTACATTATTTATATTTATATATAATTTATAATTACTAACATACGTGAAATGTGAATTAAAAATTATAACCACTTTTTCTAAGAAGATTAATTCCTATAAATTAACAAATTCTACTTAAATTTATTCTACAAAATGTATATTTTTCACTTCAGTAACTCCTATTTATACTCCCAAGTTTGCACCTAAAATTTCCACCTTATTTATACCCCTCATGACATTTTTTTAAAATATTTTTTCAATGGCAGACTGCGTGTCTGGCCAGTTACAAGTCTGTGTTTCCACCAATTCAATGAGCTTGCCGGGCCACAATTTTCATTCATTCAAAAAAAATGCAAACGGAACGTGCGTAAACGCACACAACTCGTTTGGCAATGTCAACCAAGTCAAGCTTGAGCTCAGGGAAAACCTCTTATACAAAAAAAAAACCAAATCCATAAATTTCCAGCTGGCCGAGACGGAGTTTCCTCATGAAAATCTCCGCTCCAGCGGCTTGTCGGCTCGTCGGCTCTGAACTTGACACAATTATTTGCAGATTGCGAGACGACCATTGCAAAAGTGACACAATTGAGGCACAAATACTGGCTAATTACAGCGGTTGTGCCACAATTGTGGGCCATTAGCAAAGACCATCCCAGATGCGGGGCCACATATGAATACGAATACGAATATATATTCAGATCAGCTAAGCTCCATTAATCATGGCTTGAAAACTAAGAAAAAACTATGAATTACCTTTGAATATCAAAAGGCAAAACCTGAAGATTATGGAGCGCCCAAGAATCTATGTAGCTTTCAATTTGGTCAAGATCTTGTCTATATATTTATTTATGATTTGCTGTCTGCACGAAATCGAAATAACATTTGAGGTGTGCCTTGTCTTTTTTTTTTTGTTTTTCACATAATTAATGGTGAAAAAAAACAATTTAAATTAGGGTTCTACAGCTTCCGCCTTAACCGAAACTAATGAAGGTGTTATGAACTCCAATTTTTGGATTCCTAAAAATTTGTACATTCAAGTGAATGTTTTAAACTCGGAGTCCCCAACTCAAATGTCAACTCAATTTTAGCTCAACGCAACAGATTTAATTATCATCTCAAGTTGTGGATTGCTTTGAATTGGTTTCGAGTGGAGCAGAGTGAACTGAAGTTGGCTTAGAGGGGGGTTTCGTTTTTTTTTCTGGCATCAAAATGATGGCTAATTGTTATTTTTGCATATGCTGGCAGGCGGCTGCTTGCATGTCGCTTGATCAGACAGACAGAGAGAGAGAGAGAGAGTTAGAGCCTTACATAATAATCTAGTTAACAAATTGTGTCATGTGGAGCTAACCAAGTAACCAAGTAACCGAGTAACCAACTCAGTCTCAGCTCGCCAGCAGCTGCAACTTTCGAACGCGTTTTGCAACCATAAGCTGCATTTGTCGCGAGGGTGTTGGCCTACAACAAAAAAAGTGCATTTAAATATTTCTTATTTTTATTTCTTAAAATAAATAATCCAACTCTCACGAATTTTTTTGGCTTGGTCAAAAAACTTATGATAGATCTTCCGCCACAAAAGGAGGCACACAATCTTAAGGCTG